CAACTGGGCAACCTGTATTTTTATCCACTACATTTGATGGCCCCACCCTGAGCCTTCTGCAAGCAGAATGGATGTGCGCATTCTGCAGCCAGGGGACTGGAGGGGGCCTGAGGCCCGGCACGTCCCCTGCTTGTCCCTGACCCAATCCTGCCTGTGGGGACCCAGCGGGCAGAGGAGTCAGGCTCAGGCTGAGGCGGGGGCAGCGGACACAGAGCCGCTCATCTGGGAGAGGGCAGGGCCAGCACGGAAGCTGACCAGGGACAGGGACTTGCTGAGGGAGCCCCCAGGCACGGACACCCCTCCTGATGGGTGCAGCCAGTTTAGAGTGTGAATTTAGAGAAGCTCCTCCTTCAGCAGCTGCTTTGTCCTGGGAAGTGGGGACAAGACAGAATGGACACCTGTGTCCAGCACTGCTGTCCAGAATGGGCACATGGAAATCTTGGGTGGCCCCTGAGCTCGGGTGACACCAGGCAGGTGTGGGACTGGAAGACAACTGGCCAGGGGTCCGGGGCCGCCTGCCCTGAAGGCCACTCTCTGGGGATCCTGGCTCAGCTCCCCTCACACTGAGGGGAGCCCCCCTGGGCCTGACTTCCAGGGGCTGGGCCCTGCTTCTTGATGGCAGTGGCCTGTTCAGGAGGTGAGGTGGGCTTGAAGGGGCTGCAGGAAGCCACGATGGGTGGACCCCCTGCTGGCTAGGCCCTGGCGTGGAGGCCTGAGCTCCCTGCAGCGCCCCGGAGGGCCCAGCATGGCTCAGCCTCCGTTGCTGCCAACTGCCCTGCGTGTCCACACCGCGAGGGCCACAGCCCCACACACTCACTTGCTGGGTGACCCTGGTCCCACCTGTCCCAGCCTTGGCTCAGGTCACCATACTTAACGATCTCATGTGGGCTAGGCCTTCCCTGTCCACCCCCACCCCCGCCCGGGGACAGGCACGTGCCAAGCATCACGGGAAGCCACAGTCTGGCAGGAAAGCAGACAGGGACCAGCACACAGCAAGGTGAGGGCTGCCGGGCTGGCTTCTGAGAGCCCCAGAGGGGTCTGGCGGGCACAAGACAGCTAGCTAGACACAGGTCAAGCAGGGGCGTCCCAGCAGTGGGCGCTGCAGGGCCAAGGCCGGTGGACCTGTGGTCTGAAGAGACAGTGGAGGACAGTGCCCAGTAGTGGGTCCTACTGGCTCGAGGAGGCTTGATCCAGAGCCCAGGACCAGTGGGGGCTTCAGGAGGGAAGAGGATGTGTGGAGGGAAGGGGATGATCAGGGAGGGCAGCTGAAGAGATGGGCGCAGGGAGAGTGGCCTCAGGGGCTCTAGCCAGCCCATGGGTGGACAAGAGTGCCCTGCATGGAGCAGGTGTGCCCATGACAGACAGCACTGTGGCTGGGTGGGGATGGGTGATGGAGGTGCCCTCCAGGTCCCTGAGCTGAGGAGGAGACCCCTAGGTCCTAACAGCCTGGCCTGCCAAGGCGGAGGTGTCCCCAAGGTAGCCGGAACATTCCACAGCTGCACACCTCCAGGGTCTGAATCCCTTTGCTGGGGGCGGGGTCTCGTCCCTACTTTCTGCTGCCTGAATGAATGCGCCACTTCCCACCCCCGCCCCCCCACACCAGATCTTTGTCAAGGAAAAGCTTTGCCCTTAAAAAAAAAAAAAGAGTAAATAGCAAAAAGCAGAACCAAATTTTCCAGAGGCCTGGAGGATTTAAAAGACAATACATCTGAACATTCTGTACAGTTTAATTAAACAATTTTAATGCCAATTTCCAAATTGTCCTATGCTTCATCTCACTTGAACATTCCTTTCTAGCAATGTGAATGTATTACTGCTTCATGGTTTTTAATGTCATTTTCTCCTATCAACATAAGATCTGCTTTTCATTTTCCCTCTGGGGCGAAGCTGTCCCCACGTGGAGCAGACCCCCTCCAGCTGAAGGAACATGGGTCGCCGCAGCGTTACCATGAGCCCGATGGGGGCCCAGTGCAAGCCCATGGCCGGTCGGGTCAGCCCCGCTGGACGCCGCGGACGCAGAGTCGGTGAGTACCAGCCCAGGGGGACCCAGAGCCTGGGAGGACAATTCCAGCAGGTCCTCAGCTTGGTCAGTTGGAGCAGAAGATAGTCGGAGATGGAAAATGCCCCTCCAGGTGTCTGCGCAGCCCCACTGGTGGTAAATGGGCCATGGAATTTCTAAAGGCTATAGGCTCTGTCAGGATATAGACGTTGTCTTTAAAAAATAATGTCTATTTTAAAAATCCAAGGCCCTGTCCCCTCTGCAGACATCTGGAGGATGGAGCGTGACAGAAGAGTGTGACAGTCGGTCTCATTTAGAATGACAGGCAGCTTCCTCCCTGTGCCACGGGATCCTGCCCTCCTGTCCCCCTGGCACCACACCTCATGGCTGACCCACCACACAGGCACCCCAGGCCCTCTCCGGGTCTCCCCACTCCTCAGCTCTCTCCTGTGTGCCACGGGGCCTTTGCACAGGCTGCTCTCACTGCTGGGAATAGCCCTCTGCTCTTCTGGCTGCTTTCTCGTTCTCAATATGTCTGCGGCTCCCCGTCTTTCTCGGCTCTCCATGGCACTTACCACAGTTTGTAAATGTTTTCATCCAGCATCCAAGGATGCGTTACTGGCTGCCTCCTTCCTGGATTGAAGCTCCAGGGAAGAAGGACAGGGCCTGCACTGGTCCCTGTCGCTGCATCCCCGGTTCCACCCAGGACCTGGCACACTCCTGACCTCCCACCAGTTTTTGTCCAGCAAATCACTAACAGCCTCCAGCTAAAACCAATCTTGAGCTTCACCCTAAATTTAATGAGAGTGTAGAAGATCAGGGACCTGCTTCAGCTTCAATGTCTGTCCCCTCCTTGCAAGCTCCCCTGCAGGGCTGAGCTCTAGGCCCTGGGCTCTCCCACAGCCTCCTCCTCCATAGCTAGGGCCCTAATTGCTGTTTGAGGACCTTAATTACTGGCTGGGGCCCTCCAATGCTAAGTAGTAGCATTAAAATAGAGTAAATGTTTTCCTTTTCTTGAAAAGTTCACATATACAAGAAAAGGTGCTGGTCAGCGGGGAGCAGCCTGTGCAGGGCACCGCCTGAGACCCGCCCCAGAGCTGCTGTGGACACGCCTTCCTGTCCCTTGGTCCACCCCTTTGCCAGGGCACAGCTGCCTCCTGGGGGCTCCCCTTCTCCCAGAACAGCACCCTCCCTGCCCGGCTACACAAGCTCAGGCTGGCAGAAGCCTAGCCAGAGCCTTGCCAGGTGGGCCCTCACTCCATACCACCCCAGCCGCTGGTGAGGCCCAACCAAGGCTCCTGGACCTGCCTGTGAGGACCACCTGCCTGCTCTTTGTCCAGAGGAGGTGACTCTCTCCCCGCTGAGGGTGGGCTTGGAAGGAGGGAGGGAGCCGCCCCTCCAGGGCTGCCTGGGGTGTGGGGAAGGTGCTCCCAGAGCAAGTCCCATGGTGACCGGTGGTCCTGGGGAAACTAGGAGCCTCCACAGGGACCGAGGCTGGGCACTGGGGTGGGGAGGAGTCAGGAGCCGGCCGGCCCCCTCCCTGCTGACACCTGGAGGGCAGGTCCCTCTGTGGGCCTGGTGGGGGCGGCCTGATCCGGTCCGGGTTCTGAGGTACCGACAGCCCCTGCGGGCGCAGTGGTGGACCACTGGAACACAAGCTCCAGTGACCCGTTCTGCATGAGCTCAGTGTCAGTGGGGGGCTTGCCGGAGGGCCTGGCCCCTTCCCCAGGCCCTCACAGGTCTGCACCCGGGAGGGCCGAGCACGGGACAAGTTCGCAGAAACTGCCTCATGTATGCGTGTGCGCGCGCGCGCTTGTGCTGGGGGAGATGCGGATGCAGGCGCACCCAGAATCCCACCCACGGACACAGCAGCACATCACACGGGCACGGTCACACCCAAAACACACGCGGAGGAGGAGGGGCACGCAGCCTCGCAGTCACGGCCGCGGCCGCCCACGCCCGCCCGGCCCCGCCCCCTCGGCGACCCCGGCCCGAGTCGCCCGGGGTGTAGGGGCGGTGTGCGCGGTGGCGGCCGACGGCGGCGGCGGGGAGGGGGAGGGGAAAGCCCGCCTCCGCGGCTTGGGCCGCCCCCGCAGCTGGGGGCGGGGAGCACGTTGGCGCCGCTCCCCGCCCCCCCGCCGAGCCTCTCCGCGCGCGCCCCCTGGCGCCCCACGCGCCCGGGGGGGGGTGGGGGCGCGATGGGGATCCAGCTCCGCCCCACCCCCGACCCTGGGAACCGGCGGGTGACCCCCACGATGGGGGAGGGTCGCCCGCGCGCGTGCCTCGGGGCGGGGGCGGCCCCTCCCTCTCGGCGCCCCTGCGGCCCCGCCCCCGCGCCGGCCCCGCCCCCGCCCTCCGCGGCTCACTCCGAAGTTTCCTGCGCCGCGCGCGGAC